GAGAGCTGTTTTGGCCATGAGTAGTTTGTAATGAATGAGTGAGTCCCGGTTAGAAGAGAGGAGAGAGCTATTTATACTCAAGGTAGAAATCCAACCGTTCAGATCTACGTCGGAAGTTTTGATGCATATCTCGGGAATTCCGACCTATAAAGAAAATACTGTTCATGCAAGGTCAAAGTACGCACGAGCTAGTCAACGTCATAACTCCCGACTTACGTCAGGACTTCCGACTGTCGAGACTTCCGACGGGCGCAGTCAGCCGGCCAGCTAAAGTCCAGGTGTTGGGACTTTCGACGGCCACGGTCACTGCGCAGGCTAAGTGGCTGGGCGTGAGGACTTCCGGCGTGAGTCATGACTTCCGACGGTCAGGAGTTCCGACTTACGTCAGGACTTCCGATACCAAGAGTCACCGAAAACTATTCTACGTGCTCGTGAAGTGTTAGAGTGTCTCTCTTTTGATTTTATTTTTATGCTTGAGCACTCTATCTTCCTTAGACCAACTAAGTTTGCATCCCTCTTTATAGTGCGGCGGATCCTAAACTCAAAACAAAATATAAAACCCTTGGAGAGCGCTTTGAGTTTGTCCGCCTTTACAACTTCAAGAATTGAGGGATACCATTTCATCTTTATCAACTTTTTGAATCTTTAATGGGACTAATAGCTGTGACATATCTCATTAAAATCACATTAGTCCCTAATTTGGATATCATCAATACACCAAAACCCACGTAGAGGGCAAATGCACTTTCAGTCCCTAATCCATCTTCTACATGATGAGATTTGTCCATCCCAAATCCATCCTCTATAGGCTGAGATTAGTTCATCTTCATCTATTTTTTCACCAAAGATTTGGTCCTCAACCAGACTGTGGGGATTTCTTTATACAAAATGCAACAATTGGCAAGATTAGTATATCATGGTTAGTTACAAGTAGTTATCATCTTATATTCTTCTGTGGCATGCTATTAATAACTGACTCTGCAATTGATTACGAAGCAAACATATGTAAAAAAAAATTGAGGCTAGGATGGTCAAGTAGCAGGCTTGCTGCAAATATACAAGTGCCATACCAACAAGAAGAAAATGCAAGAAAGTGGTCCTAGTCACTTTTGCTGTTAGAGCACTCCGATGGCATGCATTAGTATTTGTTCTTGTGCTTCTCATGTGCAGTTGAGCCTGAGACTCAAAGAATCATTGGTGTCTCTATATTATACTTTGGAGTCAGCACACGTTTTGATAAACAAATGGTAGTACTGATGTAGACAAGGCCCGATCTTCCAATAGACATGATAGCGTCGATTGGTGATCTAAGCTTTGAACCAAGATTGATTCGGACTCCCACAATTGTTACACCACTACTCCATTGGTTATCAACCGCGCGAACGCGATTGACCTCGCCGAGAAGGCTTTTCTACAAGCGAATCAAGAACACAAGCAAGAACAGTAAAACGCAATCTGAAATTATAAATAAATATGAGGCTCTAAACATGAAGAAGAAGTTGAAGTCTTTATTCGAAAGGACTAATCGTCACAAGCGAACAAGATCAAGAACAGGTGCCCTGGTTTAACAGCAAACGATATTGGTGATACAGTTGCAGCAAACAATGTATGTTTCACGTGGAAAATTAGAACGCAACAAAACCCAAACCCTAAAGAGAGTGACGGCTGCTAATTATAGACCTTAGGACGTCACCCCCTTGGATGCGCCCCCTAACGGGCTCTAAGACGATACACGGCCCAATGGACCAAAAGACGGTGTCGCAGTATCCTGTCAGATTCTGGACGCTAACTTGTTTTGATGATTTCCGTTGACTTCGGATGAGTTTTGATGTGAAACCAAAACCATTGAATAGATTATCAAGTTATCTTTCCAAGCATATCAGGATCATCGAAAACGGAGTTCGTATACATCCTAAGCGTTGATTTTACCCGGGACTGCTCCTGAAATCCGAGATGGACTCCAACTTCAGATGGACTGGGTCTCCACCATGATGAAGACGAGTTGGACGCCCTAGACCTTCTCCTCTCCTTGGCTTGTACGTGGCGGATGTCCTCATCAAGTACTGCTTAACAATGTTAAAGGTGACAAAGCACTGATAACAACACCCATTCTATCTATTATCAAAAGCTCCCGCCTTTTCACTAATTGAAAATTGGAATTAAAGTACAGTTCTAGAAGATTTTTCAACAGTTTTTTTATGCATCTGCTTGCTCCAGCATGTAGGATTTTTAACCTTTGTCTCTGCCTTTTGTTTTGTGCTAGAATTTATAGCAAATGCATGTAGGTTGTGGTATGCATGAAGATTCGATTTATGCTTGTGGCATACAGATTGTTCCCTAAAGCTAGAAGATATATATTGTGGCTTGCAGATTACATGTCGTCCTAATTTATATATTTCCTCATGACTGAATACAATATCTACAATTGTTAAGCTCCGAAATTTATTACAGTGTTAAGCATTAAGTAGTTAGTCCACTTACCTGACCAAAAGTATTTTCGATTGTTAATCTTTAAAATTTTCTCTATGTACGAGGATGACAGTACATACCTTTGAGTTTTCAATTATCTACATCATTCATTTTTCTTGACGACTTCTGAATTTTCATATATTTCTGCAACACTCTAGTATGTCTAGGTCTCCAAAATCAATCTATTTAAAGGTTTCTCTCTTAAACATTCGAACTAATGAACAATCTGTATGCCACAAGCAGATATTGTGGCATACAGATTGTTCTTTATAATACTATTTTCATTATCCTTTTGTTTTTATCCTCTTGTGTCATTGCAAAGTTTTAGTGTTCAGTTTATGCTTGTGGCATACAGATTGTTCTCCCAAAGCTAGCAGATATTGTGGCTTACATGATGAGTGAAGCTTCATATATTCACAAATCCTAGTGAAAGTTCAAGGCCGATTCTGCAACTCCTCACTGTCCTTACTTCAAGGTATTTTTTTGTTTGTATTGTCAAAGTTTCACTCTTTTGTGTTGGAGACCTTTTCTAATTTTTTGTTATTTGTTAGAGTTTTCTAATTTACTATCGAAACATCTAGAAAGATCTGTTTCTGGGCTTAGTTCTAGGGTAGTACATTCTACTCTTCAGAGACATTAAACTATCGCCTACACTCAATTCTGAAAGAGCACGACGGATTCAAAACACATTGCTAGATAGGTGTGCAGGCCATGCTTATGCTGCTGGTGCTTGTGAGAGACATCCTAGCACCACAGGTTGCGATGGTTTTGCTGTACAATTTTAAACATATTACTTAATTATGCTTTGGATTTTAGCACTTTGTCAGATCTTATGTATGACCATTAACTCATTTGGCTTTAGTCAGGTCTTTTGAAAATCTGTTTTGAAAAATATATACTAGCTTCAAGTGTTAGCAATGTGTCCTGCATCAAAACGGAGTGTCGAGAGCAATCGTGGGAGGAAAATTTGTGCCAAGTTGACATCTCTGTTGAAGAAGTGTTGTTGGACAATCAACCAATGAGAACGTACTATGACCTTCCCACACTCGTTGAGCCAGATTTAGGGCCTCAAACATGCCCTATTTTGTTGCACGCGGTGGCTCCATTGGACTTGCCCATGGAGCGTGACACATCTATTGAAAATATTGTTTTGGTTGAAGATGTGTCCGATGAGGAGGAAGCTGAGATGGGTATGGGTGTGACATTTAAGGACCCTATTGATATCATCATCCCTTTGAATGGATCCTCTCAGTCTATTGATGAGACCAAGATAGAAGAGCCCAACCTGCCAAATAATCCTTCGGTGGATGAGCCATCTCAACTGGATATCGACATGAAGATCGAGGATTGTGCTGGTCCCCCGATACATCACCCACCACTGGCCTGGTGACACCACTGACGAGACGCCGACGCAAGTCTTATGACAAATCAATGGTTCGCCGAAGTGCCCACCTTGTCAAGTATAAAGTCATAAAAAACTTGGGGATTGTTAGGAATGATAGGAAGCCCAATGAGATGCAATTCAAGAATTTGCAGCTTGCGTGAAAGAACTATTGCCACCGGATCTCCTAGAGTCACTCATGCGTACAAAAGGTCGTGCTTTCTAGGATCTCGTGACGGGGATCTCTTTGCCTCTTCGCTAGGCTTTGTTGTTTTGTTATCAGTTTAGTTCTGTTGCCTTTGTTGTTAACTTGGTAGTTGTTAACTTTGTCGTTGGTTGGCGGGAATCTCGTTGGCTCTTCGCTAGGGAAGGGAATAGAGAGATCGGGGAGAGCGTCGCCGCTCGTAAATCGTGGATCCCACGATGCAATCCGATCAAGCCCAAAGCTGACTCTTTGATGTGGGAATAAACCGACAAGGCCCAAGAGCCCAGACATGGGCACAGGGCCACCAGTCCTCTCTTCTGGTTGGCATTGGCACCATCAGCTCGGCCCATCCTCTGGAAGCCGCCCACGGGGCTCTATTGCTTCGCGGCCTCGCGGGAATGAATCCGTGTTTCTCCTTCCGGTTCAACAACGCCGAGCAACCGAGACCTGGCCCATCATGTGCACGTTGCCAGCGCTGCGCGAGGCCCGCTTGTGGCCAGCCGCCGTGCTCCCGGGTGTCGCGGTGGCATCATCCCCGTGCTCTGCAACCGCAGAGAGGGGCACCGGAGTGAGTGACCGGCGGACCGGGTGAGTAGCTTGCCTTGCCGGGGTGCGCTTTCGTCTTCTACAGGCGCCAGGGACATTTGAAAGGCCTCTCTCAGTTGTTGTTAAAAACAGGGCCTCTCTCAAGATTTGAACTGCATCCGTGCCGCGCTGCCATCGTACCTGACGACTACCTGGAGTGAATTTTGATTTGCAGTTTGACGATAAGCTAGTGCTAGTCTGTTTCATGGTCCATACTTTCAGTTCATGCATTGAGTGCTACAGTACAATAGTATTTACATGGCCTGCCTAAGCCTAACAGTCTTGTGTCAGCATGAACCCGTAGTTAATGCGAGTTCAACATCGGCGGCGCAACTGATCTTTCTGCGCTACTCCACTAGTCTACGAGACGAGAGAGGCATTTAAACTGAGGAAATCCTGGACGATTTGCTCAAAGACCAAGAGGACCGAGAACACCCCCATCCCAACCAGGACAGGCTTTGCACTGGTCAAGGCCTCTTTCTCCCTCTCGCCGTCTTTCTGGAGGTCTTCGTCCACGAGCCCGGCACTCGAGTCAGACAGCTTGGAGGAGCCGATAGTCCAGGCCATCAACGGAGGGAGGACACCATAGAGGATGGTCATGCAGTAGCCGCCCTGAACGTTCGTGTAGGAAGGAGCAGCACAGCAGTGCGTCAGGTCAATGGTCAATTCAGAGTGGGATGCTATGCTTGACTACGATGCCAGGCGTGTTTTGGTGCGCACTTACCGCGATGTCAGTAGCTATGGAGAACGAGTTGGGGACGGTAGTTGCGATGAGCATGGTCGGGACAACTACGATTCCGGTAGCAGCGTAGCCGAGCATGTTCTTCTCCAGAACCGATTCAGCACCAGGATGCTGCTGCTGCTGCGACGATCCATCTTCCTTGTGAAACCCAGCAACGCCTCTGTTGTTTTTGCCCTGCACTCGCCGCTTGTGTGGTCAGACCAAACAGTAACTGTAACATCGAGACCATTTCATTAGCTTTTGTTTTTTAAGTGAAGCAGAACTGCATAACCATACGTGCTGTTGGGTTGGTGAAGAGGCTACGCTATTGGTCATCTGCTCGATGAAGAACTGGGAAGCCCCAAGCAGCGTGCCGATGAGCGACGTCCCGACGGCCAGGAGCGAGAACGTCTCCAGCACGGTGTGGCTCCATCTACAAATCAAACAAGCCTGTTTCAGTTGCAGGTTGCGGAAGTGAAATTGAACAGCGAGGCAGGCAGGGCAGGGCAGGATGCGGAGAGAGATGCGGCCATGCATGCAGGCACGTGGTTAGTACCACAGTGGCCAGCCTTACTCTGTCTTTAACATGTCCAGGACGTCAAACCCAGCGAGATCCGTGGTGGTGAGGCCGAGCGCGATGTCGTCCCACACGAGCAAGGACACCAGCGGCACGAGGCTGCCCACGAGGATGGACAGCCGGATCCTCGCGAGATCCCCTTCCAGGTACGCGCAGATCACTGCGAGAGATAGTAGATAGATCAGCGGCGCTTCATCAGTGTTTTGGTGCTGAACTGTTTCCTCGCGTGGAGAGTCGGTACGTACGGCGTGGGGTGGTTTACTGTCACTGGATCGGAGGTGGGGTGTGGCCGGCTACCTACCTGGTGCGATGTCATGGAAGACCAGCGTGAAGATGATCACAGGCAACGCCGCCGGGACCTGCTCCCAGTTCGCGTTCGCTGGCAGGCTCAGGCCACCGCCGAGCGCCACTGCTGACACCTCAATCATCAGCAGTAAACCTGTTGCAATAGACCGACGCCGTGTTTAGTTCCAAAATTTTTTCCTAAAAAATGTTACAGTACTCATCACATCGAATCTTGTGATACGTGCATGGAGCATTAAATGTAGACGAAAAAAAACTAATTGCAGTTTTTAGTTAGAAATTACGAGACGAACGTTTTGAGGCTAATTAGTCCATAATTAAACACTAATTACCAAATAATAACGAAAGTACTACAATAGCCCAAATTTCAAACTTCCCTCGACTAAACACGCGCCGAGTTCATTTCATTTCCCTTTTTCTTTAAGCTAGCTAAGGTTCATGAATTCATGATTCATGTAGTCTCCTAGGCGGCAGAGCAGCAGAGTGATGAACACGAACATGGCAAGGACTCGAGGCGCGTACAGTGTATGCTTTCGGCACAGTATTGCTTGCCTGTACATCGTCGCTTTGTTGGGAAAAACCTTTGCAAACCGGGTATACTTAGGCCCGTTTATTTCCCATCTTATGCCAAAACTTTAGCACTTTTAGTTCATCTTTTGGTAAAATAAATCTAAATAGCATGGGCAAAAAAGAGTAAAAGCTGAGCTGCTAAACTTTTAACATTTGCTACCTAGATGCTCAAAACTGGGCAAAAACGCCTTGGGGCGTGAGCTGTAGAGAGTGCTTATTCAGAATAAAAAACAGCAGGGCGGGGCCTTAGAGCAAGATTGGTTCCCGGATCGTGTGTGTGAACTTAATGCGGATGTAGGAAACGGCTTTGATACACGCATGAATGATCAGTCTTAAATAACGGCTGTGGCAGCTTGTGGATGGCACGCACGTCTGTCATCCGGACGAGAGATCGCAGAGCAGCTTGCTAGTAGGAGTACAGAGTACTTTATACCTATCATAACGAAGGTCAGCAGCTGGTTCACCCGGTCGGTGACGGCCGTGCCGCCACCGGCGACGAGCATCGCGAGCGCGGCGGTGAAGGCGGCGCCGGAGACGGGCTCGGGCACGCCGGGCACCAGGCGCGACAGCACCTCGCCGGACTTGGACGCGTAGGCGACCATGGAGGTGTAGGACAGGAACAGGTACGTGGCGGTGGCCAGGTGCCCGCCCCACTCGCCCAGCGTCTCCTGCGCCATGCTCTTCACGGAGATCACCTCCAGGTCCACCAGCTCCCCGCGGCGGTGGTTCCCGCCGTCCTTGTTGCGCCGCCGCCGCCGCAGGTGGACGTTGATCTCCGCGATGAGGAGGGCCTCCGCGACCAGGAACGCCCAGCACGTGACCATGCACGCCGCGCTCGGGACGAAGCCCTGCAACAATCAATTAAATTTTGCCAGCGTCAGTGCTGGCTTTTCTGACGAAATGGGCGCTGGGCTGGATAAATGCAGATGTATGTTCGGTTCGGGAAATGTTTGGTGTTTGCAGATCATCGATCGAAAGCGCGCTCAGCTTGGTGGAATTAAACGCGGACGTTCATCGTGCCAACTAAAACCGAACAACATGCCATCGATTGAATGCTCATAACTACGGGGTAGAGAAATTCAGGGCTTATTTAAATCTAGGTCGTAAAGTTGCAGGTATGATGTCGGGTGTATGGCACGTTTGATACTAATAAAAAAATAAATTATAGAATCCGTCGATAATTCGTGAAATGGATTTATTAAGTCTAATTAATGTGTCATTAGCACATGTGTTACCTTAGCACCGTATTATTAAATTATGGACTAATTAAGCTTAAAATATTTATCTCACGAAATAGTTAAATATTCAATGGGAAATAGATTAAACTTTAAGGCATAAAAAAAAAGGCCTCAGTTGGTTTCCTTGCCTGTCGAGGCTACGCGCTGTTCTCTGCTGATTGGTACTACTGTTAACTGTTCAGTCTATTACTGCTGCTGTAGCAATTCGTTGTAGCCTGTAGGGATATTATTATAGAGAGAGAGAAAACAGAAAAGAAAGAGAGGTTAGCTGGTCCATTGTGAGAGCTAGTGGTACTGACAGCACCGATGCTACTGGGAGAAGGAAATCATTGTTCTGGCGGCATCATCGTGTGGCTTCGTTGTTAGGCCCGCTTGATGGAAGCTGCTAAAATTTAATCAGTTAAGCTGTTTAGCTGATTAAATTTTAATTATTTCTGTTTGGTTTGGTGGACTAAAAAGTTCATGTTAATCTTTTTTAGTCAGGGCGTTTAATACAAAGTGACTAAAAGATAAAAGATGATGTAGCCTGAACTTTAGTCTCATTTAGGAAACCTTGGTGACTAATTGTTTAAATGCTCATTTAGTCTTATAGTGTTTGGATAAAAAATGACTAAATAGAATTAAAATTAGTTAGCTAAATTTTAGCAGGTCAAACCAAACACTCCTTATAACTGCCTGTAACTTGGTAATGCCTTGTTTGATGTTATCGGATTCACTAACACATGTGGATGGATGCAAATTCGATTGCATCCGAACATGGTCTAAGGGTTTGTTTGGATGTACGTGTATCCACCTCAATCCATATGTATTGGAGTGGAATGAAATAAAATTTAGTTTAACTCCACTCCAGTCCCTTCATCGATATATATAAATTAAAATGAATACGTGCACTTCTGCTCGAAGAAATGAATTCCAGCGGTTTTCTTCCGCAATAACGACGTGTCGCCCGGGGCCATGCATGGTAGTTGAGGCTAGTTCGCTGGGTCTAATGGAACTCAAACTCACCGCGGGCGCCGTGCGCTGCGGCACGGCGAGGATGCCGGACCCGATGCTGGTCCCAACGATCAGCGCCACGGCGCCGGCCACGCTCCCTCTCTTCTCGGCACGGGACGGCGACGCGGGAGCGGGGGCACCCGGCCCCGGCCGCAGCGCGGACCTCCCTTGGCCTTGGCCATTCGCGCGCACCACTCCTGGCCTTGGGTCGTCACGCGCGCTCCTGCACCGTGCACCCAGGCCACCGCCGCCGCAGAGGCTTCTCGGCACACGGACGCGTACCTCCGGGCAGCCGAACGTGGTGCGGCGGATCTTTGGGCACCACGCCCCGCGGGCGATGGCCCCTTGCATCCGCGAGAATTTCTGGAGCGCTCGCACACACTCACAGTTCCGTGGAGAGGCTTCGAGAGGGGCATTCAACAGGTGGAGTGGCTGCGGCTGGATCTGGACGTTCGCAATCTTTGGGTTGCAGTGGTTGTAGACGGCCGAGCCGAGAATCACTGCAGTTTGTGGCGCACGCCGCAGGAGCCGACGGGCACGGCAGTCCGGAGATTCTGGACCGAGCAGGGCGCGCCGAGCCCGGGATGACGGGATCTGTGTGTGCTAGCTAGAACGAAAATGATGTCTTCAGGTCCGGACAGGATTTTTTTGTGTCATTTGTGTGGCCTGAAAATATGCTGACGGGGACACGTCGGCGGTCGGACCGTCGGAGTGGGACTGTGGGACCCTGTCCATCGTTTCCCAGTGCCCCGAAGGTAACGAACTGCCAGGACTTTTCTTTACTAGTATCATCATTTGATTTGAGGTGCGTTTTTCATTAATTATATCATTTCAGGTGCATTTTTCATTTATGCCATTTTGGATTGGACCATCCTTCACTCCTTCGACCTCTTGACGGTGATTTGTCCCGTGGGTTCCCTCTTCCTCTCACGAACTCGTCATTTACGGCTACTTCCTCTGTGCTAAATATAGGTTCTGTAAATCACATATTATGAAAGTATATTTTTTATGGTACGTCTAAAAAACATAGGCTCTATGAATTTATAAACCATATACAAATTTCTAGAAATTGATGGTCAGAGATAAAAAAGTTAGACTTTGGACAAAGCTTGAACGAAAGTTGACTTATATGAAACATGAGGGGTATAGGCCGGGTAACGTTTTGTGTTAGGTCATCAATTTTCTCGTGTATCTTTTGTATTATTCCATTTAAATCTATAAGGGGCTACAAAGAATTGGGTCTCTCTTTTTAACACAAAAGTTACTGACAACCCATCTAGATTACGGTCCTGTTTGGCAACCAGAAAACGTCTCTATTTCTCAAGAGAAACAGTAGAATCGCTACCAAACTATTTGACGCTTAGTGATTCACCGGGAGAATCGTTTCTCCGTTTGTACATGCAAGTACGAAACGGTGAAGAGGTCGTTTCCCTAGTTTTGTTTCCGGGCACCCCTCTATGCTAGCAAATGTTTTTTTAACAAACCATTTTTGTGCAACAAGTTAAAATGAGTTTGTATTTAAGTTATTCTTCACCCATAAAAAGTGATTTTTTTGAAGCATATTTGATCCATATATTTTGAGTCTGTCTACCTGTCGGATACCCAAAAATAGGGTACCCCAAGCAAAGGTCGAAAAAACTGCTTAGACCCTAAGAACAGAACCAACGGAATAAACGAACGAGGTCTCGGCCGAAATCTCCGATTCGCCCGAGACCCCGTCGCCGAGCCCCAGCGGAAGTGAACGATTCTCTGACTCGCCCGAGACCTCCTCGCCGAGGCCCCCTCGCCCGGGGCCTCGGAAGAAGTGCCGATTCTCCGATTCGCGCGAGGCCGGCTCGGCACCAGCCCCGTGGCCACCTCTTCAACCAAACTGCTCTGACCGAACGTCGCATCCAAGCACCCAACCACTCCGACAGACGCACGATGGCACAGTACAGCGAAGTGACCGACTACACGCCAGTCGCGTCAACCTCCTGCCATCTGCGACGTCACAGAGCAGGGGTTACCGACCACTGTGCTGCCTAACTCCTGCACCAAGGACATCGCAACGTGGGGAGTTAGAACGGGTTCCTGTAGCCTCGGAATCAGCGGACCGACCGCTCCGTCTCGCCCGAGCCCCCTCGACGGGGCCTCGGATTCACTGATCTTACTCCGCCTCGCCCGTCCACCGCCCGGGACCCCGTGGGGCCTCGACGACGACTGGCACGCCCGCTTCGCCCGAGGCCGGGCTCAAATCCCGCAACCTCGTCGCCTCCGCCTCAAAAGTCTCTCGGCAGTCGTCGCATCCGACACGCGCCACCGCACCCGCCACGTAAGCCACGATCGGCAAGCAAGTATTGTTAACAGAGCGACGGACAACGGTCGATCACATTTTCTACCATCCCCATCGACAATACAGTACCAGTATCCTCAGAGGCGCACGTCTCGCACTATTCCGCTGATGGTCACCGAGACCCGATCTCGCACTGGTCACTTCTCAGCCCTCGGCACGGTAGGCCTCGGCAGACAACAGCCCTCGGCACGACAGTTCTCGCAGACGACCGACCACGATGGCCGCCGAGCCTCTCGAATCCACTAAGTCAACAAATGCGCAAAGATGTTACTTGCAAAGGAGACCATACCGATTAGACATCTACGGAACTCCCACGACAACGCCATGCTGCTCCGTGAGTAAATACGCCATCGAATAGTCCTTGCTCCATGTGTAGCTCTCTTATGTACTCCTGGTTTCCTCCCCTCGCTATAAAAGGAGGCAGCCAGACCGCTTTCTAGGACGATGGATAGAATCACGAATACTGCACGAACAACACGCCTCATTCTCAGAATTCATAGCACCTCCCTCACAGAGACCTCGGGACGAACTCCCTCTCTCGCCTAGCTTGTAACCCCTACTACGAGCACCCCGGTGCAAGGAATACAAGAACATCTTCTCAGATCGGACGTAGGGCATCCATTGCCCAACCAAGATAAACCTTGTGTCTCTTTGCATCTCCATCCGGAATTGGGAGCACGCAAAGACAAATTCACTAGTCGGTTAAGGACCCCGGTTCAAACATCGACATTTAGCGCGCCAGTAGGGGCCTCTGCGTGTCGCCTTAGTCATCCCACCAGATTTCGATGATGAGATCCCGTATGATCGCTATGCCTCGGGACGATCGTCTGTTCGGGAGCCTAGAATTCATGTCTCTAGGGCACGAGTACGACATGGTACTCCTCTCACCCAGAGCGCCATCAACCGACGACGACGTCTTGCACCGACAAGCAACCCACGCAGCAGGCGGCGCCGGCCGCCACGCCCCGCGTCAAGCTCACCGAGCGCCCGCTGGGCGAGTCCACCCTAACACCACGCAAGCATGTAACGCCAATCCAGGCTCCACCGAATCCCATACCCCGCCGCCGCACTGAGTCCTCAGACGGGGACCTCGTCCCGCTTAAGCCTCGACAGGGAAAAAGGGCGGTGGCGCACAATGACACCCCATCATCAAGCTCGCATCCCGCCTCCTCCCGAGAGCCAGCTCTAAAGGAGCAGAGCAGCGCGACGGTGCCATCCCCTGCACTTTTCGGGCGACCAATGTCGCCGCCTCCCCACGCCACCGCCTTTGTCTCCATTCATCAACGCCATGCCCATAACCCCATAGTCACAACTCCAATCCACCCACACCGACTCTCCTGAGGAGGACGAGGCGTGGTTTGGAGCAGCACTCCGGGATTCGTGACCACGAGGCGATGCGCGCCGCTTCATGATCGCGAGCGACTACATCGCTTCGGCTATTCTCGATTCGACGGCGAGGACGCTTACGACCCGACTCGTGAGTGTTTCCACATCGGACTCGGAATACCGAGCACGGCAACGATGGAGGAAGGGCAGCCAACGCCACACCACCACGCACGGGTCCCCGCCAACCAAGTGTGGTAGGTGTCCCACCCCGAGCAACTTCAACGATAGACCTAGAGCAGCTCGTGAGCTTCAAGCCAAGGTCGAGCAAGATCGACTCCTCCCGCAGCAGCCCGAGCCACCCTCGAGCAAGAGCAAATGGGCGCGGCGATGGCGGAACGGCCCGGCTAGGGGCTCACGACGCCAACCGCCGATTAACGATGATGAGGGGGCGAGCAACCCCTGCCTTTCAATCGCGCTTAGCTGTAACATCGCTGCGGCGGCAATATCGGTCCGAAGCGATGCCCGAGCCCTCTACCACGGAGGGGGCGATGAGTCCACGACGAACTCCGGGCCTTTCGAGATCGCCATGCGCAAAGAAAGTCGAAGCTCGAAAGCTCCGCGCGGACGCCGACGCTGGGACGCCTCAAAACAGCCCTCGGTGCACGACCGCCTCGACGACTAATGCGAGGCGCAAAACAGCCACCACGACGGCACCATGACCACTATGGGGCCGCCCGGGGCTACCGAGTGCACCGAGGCGGTCGCTATGACAGTGGGGAGGACCGCAGTCCTTCTCTCGGGCCGCCTGGCCCTAGAGTTTTCAGTAAGGCCATCCGCAGCGCCCGCTTCCCCGAACCCGGTTTCACAACCAAATAATCTCTCAAAGTACAAATGGCGAGACCAACCCCGAAGCTATGGTTGGCCGACTACCGTCTGCTTGTCAGCTAGGCGGTGCGGATGATGACCTACTCGTCATCCGCAACCTCCCCCTATTCCTGTCAGACTTAGCGCGAGCTTGGCTTGAACACCTTCCCCCTATGCAAATCCACGACTGGCGCGACTTGGTAAAGGTCTTCGTCGGGAATTTCTAGGGCACCTACGCGCGCCCCGGGAACTCCTGGGACCTCAAGAGCTGCCGCCAGAGACCGGACGAGTCTCTCCGAGACTTCATCCGACGTTTCTCCAAGCAATGCACCGAGTTGCCCAGCATCGGTGACTTAGAAATCATCCAGGCATTCCTCTCCGGCACCACCTGTCGAGACCTGGTCCGAGAATTAGGCCAGAGCGTACCGACTACGGCATCTGCACTCCTCGACATTGCCACCAACTTCGCCTCTGGCGAAGAGGCCGTCGGGGCCATCTTCCCCAACAACGACTCCAAGGGGAAGAGGCGGGAGGAGACCCCCGGGGCCTCGACGTCTCGCCCTCCCAGAAAAAGAAGGGACGCCAGGGGAAACAGGAGGTTCTCGAGGCCGGGCTCATCACGGCCGTAGACCGCAAGAATCCCCGAGGCCCAGGGCTCTTCGACAACATGCTTAAAAGACCCTGCCCATACCATCAGGGCCCGGTAAAGCACACCCTCGAGGAGTGCACCATGCTCCGGCGATACTACGCCAAGCTCGGGCTCCCCAACGACGATGCCAAGAAGAGGGGCCAGGACGACGGAGACAACGACAAGGACGATGGCTTCCCC